CATGCCAATCCTCCTCTTTTTGCTGAGGAAGACTGGCCCTGGGCTAACATCCGTGCCCATCTTCCTCTACTTTATATGGGACACCACCACAGCATGGCCTGACAAACGGTGCATCAGTGCGCACCCAGGATCTGAACCCGGGCCGCCAGCAGCGGAGCATGCACACTTAACTGCTACACCATGGGGCTGGCCCCGAGGAGAGTTGAATTTTTAGTTATTTTAAATGTTTAAAATTTTCTAGTAAAATAAAATTTTTAAAGGAAGTTGAAATTAAACAATAAACATTAGACATCAACTCAAGTGTTCTTTTACTTTCTATGATAAACCAAGGAAACTTACTTTTTCATGGATTGTATCCACCTTCTCACAGCTGGTTTTCAAATGCTGCCAATTTGACAATTCTGATTTCAGATGACCCAGCTCCAACTCAAGATGCCTCACAACAGAAAGGAGGTGCTGCCCTTCGTCAGTTCCACTGCGAAATCAACGTGAGGAGGAAATAAGTCACAAGTGCTTCAAGAAAACGCAGTCAATAAACACAAAGGAGAAACTGACCACATTCCCAGGTCAGTCAACACTGTAAATATATCAACTTGTCCTACGTTAACATGGAAATGTAAAGCCAGTTTCAAGCCAAAACCCCAGAGACTTCTTCCACATTGATGCACACACATGTACACAGACACGAGACCTACTCAGGCAAGACCACCCAATGCCGTCAACACTGGCTCTTTCAGTGGTAAGTGAAAGACCTCTCAAAACTATTGCATGTTCAAAAACTGTGTCTATCTCCTTAAAATTATAAAAAGACTTCAGAAATGAGACAGTATTTATATATAATCATTATAAAGCTGAATATGAATTTTTCATTCTAATGGAAGGGATAACTGAACTAAAACTGTATGGCTTTAGGGTTTGCTTTAATAATTCCATTTTTATATGGGAACTATACATTATAATATAAAATTCTGTGATATTACATTTACACTGGCTTATAGGCAGGGACAGTTGTTGAGACACCAACAATTCATATCTCAAAAAAGTACACTCTGGGATACACATCTTAGGAGCTCATAATAGCCTATCAAAACCCCTTTTTACTGAAATGAAGGCTCTGAAAGAAAAGCAGAATGTGCTCTCACACTTACACCCATCCTTACGGAAGGACATACGGGAGCTGAAATTGTGATACAGGTTCTACACAAATGCACAGGAGCCAGAGACAGGAAATGGGAAGTTAAAGCTCATCGTCTGGGCCTCCCGGCTCGAGGATCAGGCATCAATGGGGCAATGAAAGGGTCAGGACTGATGTGAGTGTGTGCACACACACGTGTGGAGAGCCCCTGTGGATCCAGTGAAAGGTGTGCAGAAGAAACACAACCCAGGTGGTGAGGAACCAAGGACCCCCCCCCCCCCAGCAAACCGCTGCGGGACCAGGCTGCTCAGATGGCAAAGACCCGGCTCAGAGGAGGCGCAGGGCCACTGCTGCGAAAGGGAGAAGGCTGGAGCCTTGGTGAGAACTGCCCATTTCAGAAGGCAGGGGTCTTCCCACTGGAAAGGCTGCTGGGGCGGGGACAAGGCCTGAGCTTTGATGTCAACGGTGCCAGCAGAGGTCCAGGCACAGAAGTCTACCCTCCACTGTGACATGTGCTCTCACGTGGGCCGCGTCCCATCTGCGCCCCGAGGGGGCCCTCCAAGCACACCTGAGCAGTGAGTCTCTCCAGGCCAAAGTGGGGGCACCACTGTCTTTGGGGGTGCCACGTGAAGAGAAGTGGATAGTAACAAGCCCCTCAGACCCCACTCTGTCCTCGGGGGGCTCCAAAGGGTCTCCTAGAAAGATACACAGCTGGGAATGTTTCCACCTACAAGGCCCAGTGACTCCAGGTGCAAACAGCGTCCCCTCATTAACGACTGCTGCGGCTCCACGCAACAAGAGAGAAACACAGAAGACCAAGTAGTAATTAATTTGAAATTATCCTACCTAATTGTTCTTAGCTTGGTCTGTTCTAATTCCTTCTGGATGGCCTAAAAAGTATGAGAAACAATCTGTTTAAATATACAAGTTATATAACTAGCTTTTCATAAAATTATACACTTAAATATATATATATATATATATATAACTACATATATTTAACTGGGATTTTTCTCCCCTTAACTCAAAGTCCAGACCTGCCTGTTGGCTGGAGATGAGGGGTGTTTATCTTATCTTTCAAAGTAAACTTGTAAAAGACATACAACATATACTCAGAGAGGGGCATAAATCACACAGGAACAGCTTGATGGGTTTTCAAAATCAAGCAGGTCCTGTAACCAGCACTCAGGCCAAGAAGCAGAACGTTGCCACCACCTCTGGGAAGTGTTTTTTAAATGTGGAAGGACAAGGAAAAGGAAATGACAAATTTACACATGAAGATATAACTTATTAACATGGTCTGTTTGAAGACGGAGGAGCGGACAACACAAAGTCGAATACCACATCTGTTCAAACTACAATTTAACCGAGGTCCGGATCTTCCCAGCACACCACGGGACCACATGAGCACATGAACTGGTGCTGTATTCCTAGCAAGAGGCCAGCGTCTTCCTTGGGCCCCTCCTCTTCCCCTCGGTACCATGGAAACATCTGATCAACTAACCAACTGAACTTGCCTGATTCTGACATGGTCAGAACATGGCAGCCGTCCCAAGGTCCCCAAAGGCTTATGCCACGTCTAACCCTGAGGTCAAACAACAAAGACGCCCTCTCTAATATGCCCTGCTTGGCGTTCAGCACTCATGATGCAGGGAACCTGAAGCCAGCACTCCATAACCTCTAGGGCTTACACCAGCACAAACATCCTGGCCTCCTTCCTCTGCCTTTACCAACTTCTGAATAATAACCGACTTTTCCACCAGAAAATTAATTTTGTCTGTCAAAAGATGCCGGTCCTTCATTCTCCCTCTAAAGACAATGTCACTTTGTGGAAGGCTGCGTGACATTGAGGGGAAACAGGGACCCTGGAGCCGGGCACGGCTAGATCTGAGTCCAGGGCTGACTGGACCCTGGAGAGCCAGCCTTGCTCTCACAGCCCTGCTCTGTGCCCTGGCTGCTCCTGGGCTCAGGCTTCCCCTCCAAAAGACTCCTTGGAACCGGTGAGCTGGACACACCTATGAAACATTAAAGCAATAAAATGGAATCGCCAAGGGAAAAAGGGAAGAGTCCAAAGTATTTTTTTCAGTTTTATAAAGGATGGCAGCAAATACCCTAAAAGAAGCCCTTTAGAGGCCAAGGATCATGGAAACATTAACTGCAGTGGACTTTCTTTTATGGAGGAAATCACTTTGTTGGGGCTACAATTAAAAGGTCAGAATGCATACCTCAGATCTTTCTGTCATTTTTCCAAGAACATCTTCCAAGTTTGAGATGCGCAATTCATGATCTTGGTGGAAAGTCATATAGTCAGTCTTGAAAAGAAAAATGAATGGACAAATGGTAGAGAAAGTTAAGCAACAAATAAACAAAAACCTGGCAAGTTAGACCAAGTTATTTTGACACAGAATATCCCCAAATTAGAAACTATTTGGTCACAACTTGGCAGAGCACTCTGGAGGGAGTAATCCACTAATAATGTCCTCATCTTCATCTCTGACTTTACAGATCTTAAGCCTGTGCTAAAATGCACAAATAGCTTTTCTAGTTACATGAGAATATTAAGAAGTCCTGGAATTACTGGAAAACACTCTATGTAGGAAGCAAATCAATTACTATTCATTCAACAAATACTCATTAGGCACCCAGTGTGTTTAGTGATTTAGGGAAAATAGCCATGGATAAAGAGACAGTATGCACTCGCCCCTCCCAACCACCGCATAGTCACACGAAATATGTGACAGAGACACAGACATAAACCCATCAGAACATTTCCCCACAACACTTGATAACATCCTTCAGAAGAGACTTTATCAGGTGACTAAAGTGATTAATTAAGTAGCTGGGTAGGTGAGCTCCTCTTCCGGCTGGGTGAGGGCAGTGATTAACAGCATCGAGTGAGGGGAGACCAAGGTTTTCAACATAAGTTAACTGCTGGAAAATAAGAGTTCAACACATCCCCACCAATTCTTCAGCAATTCTTATAAGGTAAAACTCTGTAGTTTTATCTTACCGTTAAGATCATCAGACCCGCTCCCTGGGAAGCTCTAGAAAAATCAATGCCTGTCACCTCATCCAAGGGCAACAGTCAGGGAGAGCAATGCAGATGGGCCCTGTGCACCTGAGCAGCCAACGTCCAGGTCAGAAGACAGGACAGAGTAACCAATGCTGTTATTATGGGGAGTTTCATTTGTTAGTTTATATCCCATCTCGTTCCAAAATATAATCTCTGTGATTTACAAAATTTCACCCAAAAAATAAGATGAACCAGAGCAGAGGGATGAACATCAAGAAAAGATGAACCCAGGGCACTGATATGGAAAAAGGTCAGCCACTCAAGGGGGCTGTAAGCTTCCTCACTGCCGCCTCCTCCCTGTCTTTAACTGCGTAGCCTAGCAGAACTTTGTGCCACGATGAAAGGGTCCTAGATCTGAGCTCTCAAGTGCAGCAGCCACCAGCCCATGTGCAGCTGAGCACTTGAAATGTGGCTGGTGCAAGTGAGGAACTAAATTTTATAGTTTTAATTAATTTAAATTTACATAGCCATATGCAATTAGTGGCATACTCTATTGGACAATGTGGATATATAAGATAAATACATGCCCATAGCTCAAGGGAAAAGACAGCAGATTGCCAACTATCAGGTAGTTAAAATATTTAACACCAATGTGTGGCTGCTTCAGAGGGAAGTTTAGGATGCTGCCCTGCACTAAGATGACATCATGATCATACCTGTATACAGGTAAACACTGGAAGACAGCATAGAAGAAGGGGCTAAATCTGTACTAACCCAATTTACAATCTAATTTTAAAATGAGCCCATTTATTACACTAATAAAATTTAGTGTACACAATACTAGATAAACTGATTCTTGTTTTTTTTGAACAGTCATCTGTTTTCTTTACAAGAGAGGGTAAATACACCCTGACTGAGGTTGCCAGCTCACCACTCCTTGTCTGTTTTTTCAGGATTCCTCACCGTATCGCCCCTGCAATGGGTGAGAATAGCTCAGGCTGCCTCAGCTGATGCTCCTTAAGACCCGTGCACTTCCCGCAGTGACTCTGTGCTCCTGCCCACGGGACAGAATCCAGTAATCTGCCACCTAGAGTACTCCAGCTATTTTGGTTTTTTCAAACCAGCCTCTGCCTTTGAGACGGACTAGCTTCAACCCTTCCATATCTGCAAAGTTTAGATTTATCCCTTCACGCCCATTTCCATCTCCAGAGCTGTTAAACGGCCAATGGGAACAGAACAAACATAACTGTGTTAACTGGCTCTTACTGAAATCATGTCAATTTGATGGTTGAGAAACTGAAAATAAGCAACTACTGAGGAACCAATGCAAGGACTGGGAGCAGATAGGGAAACTCAAGCATGGCGATGTGGGCTGTGCAGGGAAGGTGCGCCCACGCCCTGTGACCTCAGGAGCCCGCACACCATCAGCACAGCACAATGGAAACAGTAACAGATGCACCTTAGGCTAAACCAGAGTCAAGAAAAGATTTGATCATTCAACAGGTATTCATTTTAGCCCCTACTAGGTGTAGAAGACAGCGATTTAAACAGCAGCAGTATCAACAGTGGTAAGTGCTGGCACTGCTGGAGGAGAAGAGTAAGGGGGCGGGAGGGCTGAGCCAGCGCTCGCAGTCTGGTCAGGGAGAATCCCAGGTGAGCTAGTCGAGGCAGGCTCACTAGAGAAGCCAGGCCCGGGGGACGGCTGCTTCAGACACAGCAGTCAGGCCTGCTCAAGAGCACAGCGGGACCGGCTTTGTGTGGGGCCCAGGGAGCCCTCAGGGGTCCTTGCAGACTGCTGAGACGCTAGGAGGGAGGGGAGTTGAGGGTCCCTCCTGGACGGTGGCATGGACAGCTGCGTGGGCAATGGGCTCTCTGCTGAGACAAGGGACATCAGGGACAAGCTTGCTGTTGAGACAAGGGTGAATACGTGTTTTAAAGATTTCAATCCAAAATGCCTAAATTAAATCATTTTGGAACTTAAGAAAATAAACCTCAGTTTTGAGGAAAGTGTACTGACAATGCTTCCCTTGAGAATACCAAATAAACGAGACATTTATACAGAGGCTTGTGGTTCCATACGGAACAGTAGTTACTCGTACTACTTCACAATCTTGAGATATTTTAGAGCACAGATTTGAACTTTTCAAAATAATGTTGATAGGAAATGCAAATCAAATCACTGTTGACAGTGCCAGTAAAGTTTCACTGAATTATGTTCAATCTATTTTCAAATTAAAATACAGGCTAGGGACAATTGGTAGAAGAGGACATAAAAGGTCCTATTTCTCCCGCTGCAGTCCATCCCCACCTGTGCTGTTACCCACAGGGTCTCTATCCCCACCCTCAGCCCCCACATCCACGGTGTGCTCCCAGCCCCAAAGGTTGCACCCACTCTGGTGGTGTCAAAGTACCATAGCTCCTGGTCGCTGGCAGGTGCCAGGAAACCACACCACCCCTCAGTGCATGTTGCTCCCAACAGTTAGAAATACGACCCCTTCTCACTGCAGTGCCTTTCCTGTTCCTTGTCCCCCAAAAGGAAAACAAAACATTCAAGAACTTCTCGGCATTACCGCAGAGCCAGACGGTCCACCGGCCCGGATTTCCTTTAAATGTTGCTCCACCACACCTTTAACCAGGGACAACATCCCTTCACTCTCATCGTCCATCTGGTCCACCCGTGCCTGTAGCTTCTGAAGCAAAACTGTCAGTTCTCTGAGCTTCTCATCATGGTTGTGACACTGTCCAGAAAGAAGGGTCATCTGCCTTTCGACTTCGCTCATCCGAAGGGAGCGAAAAGCCTCGTCACCGCCCTGAAACAGTAAGAGGAAGCTCCAGTGACAACACAAATGAGAAATTAAACCCAGCATCATATAACCTTAAGTACAGGATAAGTCAAAATTACAAACAGAGTATTATAGCAAAATGTCACCTACAATGCACACAAATACACCTAAGGAAAATGCATGACAATGTCCATCATTAGTGATTTTCCGTAGTGGCAGACTATGGGTGCTATTTATTTTCTTCTTTATACATATTTTCGAAAGTAATGAATACCATTATTTTTTTAAATTAAAATTAACTAATGAGATTACTTTAAATATTCATTATTTGAACTATTTCAGAACATTTAAGGAGCCATAAGACTTGCTTATTTGACATTTAAAAATATTTAAATATTAAAAAAAAACAAGGCACCCAACTTAACTACTCTGTTCAAGAGGAGCATGACGGCATCCTCTGCGGAACACAGACGTGTGGCACCAGGTCAGAGAGCATCTAACCGCTTACCGCCAGAGGCTGGGTCAGGGGAGAAGGGTCAGGTGTGAGCATGTTCTTGGGCTCATCTGGCCTCTGTGCTCTGTACAGGTGCATCCAGTTTAACACCGGCAGCAATGAGAGGACATCGCCCTGGCCCCACAATGAAAGACCTGCAGCTTGAGGGAGAGAAAACACAACTGTCCACACATGTACACACACTGCTTTTCAAACCTGTATTTAAATGCTCAATTCTTTCACTAATTTACATATATGTATGCATATATATTAATCATCTAAGGTAATTAAGTCAAATTTTACTTACCTAGTAAAAGTAATAGTGGAATGAGCAAGATTAAAAACTTGCAAATATTTCGAAGGCACCTAGGAATTTAAAAAGAAAAACATTTAACTTGGAACAAGTAAAAGGCAGGGTTCACCATTCTCTGTTACCTCTCTAGATAATTTTATACCAAATCAACCCACCACTTTATTTATTTATTTTTTTAAAGATTTTATTTATTTATTTTTTTCCCCCCAAAGCCCCAGTAGATAGTTGTATGTCATAGCTGCACATCCTTCTAGTTGCTGTATGTGGGATGCGGCCTCAGCATGGCCGGAGAAGCGGTGCGTCAGTGCACGCCCGGGATCCGAACCCGGGCCGCCAGCAGTGGAGCATGCGCACTTAACCGCTAAGCCACGGGGCCGGCCCCTCAACCCACCACTTTAAACAGAAGTCCACAGTGTTAGAAATGCAGCTACAGTTTTATCTACAAGGTGTGCATCTACCTGCAGGAGAACCTGCCTATAACATGGTGTCTCCCAGCCCATGTTAACAATCAAACTTGTCTCTATGGATATGCAAGGTGCCATGCTGGGGGCTACAGGAAGGGTGCAAAAGGACCTGGGTCACTAGCCCCTTGGTCACGGCCCACTGAAGTAACCTGGGCCATGGGAACTGTACACTGAGTTGCGTCAAGGGCTCTGGCTGCAGTCCTGACCACACCGTTCCCAGCTGTGTAACCTTCCACAATTGCTTAACCTCCGCACACTGCTGTTTTCTTTAAAAATGACACCTGCCTTTTCTTTCTCACAGGAGCGGGCTGAGAAAAATTAAATAACAATATGAAAGCACTTTGTAAAATATAAAATGATATATAAATGCAATACATTAATATACCAAACTATAAAAACTCTGTAAATACAAGCTGAATCATTATTAGCATAAAATCAGTTCTTTAAAACACCAAGCTGACATGATATCAATTTCCTTACCTTGTAAGAAGAAACACATTCAGCCAAGAAATCAAAGTAACAAACTGGTACCATCCAATCCCTAGCCACCAGACTACTCCAGAGGCTGCCTTCCCTAGGAGAGAAAACATCAGACACCTAAGGAAGTGTTCCTAGGAAGACCAAACTCCTGAATGGACTGCTTTTGTGAAGGCCAAGCCAGAAGCACAAGGACATTTACTAACAGATATTTTGAAAGTAGATTAAGAGGAAGTTAGGGATGAAGTATTTAAGGTGATGCTAGTCATAGGGAGGAAGATCCAGGCACTCAAACACAGGAACATAAGTCACAAAGCAACATGCAATGCTGATAAATGCACGAGACAAGAACCAAAAGAGGGAAGACCAAATCCATGCATTCTCAACTAAAGTAAAACAACTAGACTCACACAGAACCCAGCAACCAGAGAAACAAAGAATGCTCATGCAACTAAAAGCATAGTATGTTAGCATTTCTAAGTAATAAAGAATGAAACATGTTAATCAAGGATCAAAGCTAATAAACCTAAAATTAAATTTTTATTTGGTCAGGTAAATCATTTATTGCATGAGCTTAACTGCCAAAAGCCTTGGAGAGAATGCTAACATAGAAAGCCAAAATAACCACCTGGAGCAACCATGGCCAACCAAAGAACGGACAACACCGTCTTCGACACAAACCATCCTGCAGCTCCCAGCCTCTGCAGCGTGTGCCTCAGGAAGTGACCTGCGATAGACAAGATGTGTGCAGGAGGGGCACACTCGCACACACACCAGAAAACCAGCTCACCAGGGTTACAATACAAGAAACTCCCTCTAGTATGCATTTTACCAAATTCTCTCCAATCAGTAAGTCAAGAGTTTCTTCTCAAGAAAAAAATAAAATAAACGACTTTAAGTCCAAGCAAGAAACTAAAGTTAACTTACGAAAACCCTGCTATATGTTTGAATAGTTTTCATTCACTTCTGCCTGCAGATACTTAGAATGTAAAATGCAGATATCCCTTATAAAATCCATGGCGGGGGGTGGCTAGCAGCTACCCTACACATGTTCGCAGTTGGTGCTAACAGAATTTATACTGGAAATGCAATACTCTAAAGCAAATAAAATTCCCCAGACACCAGCAGTTACCATGCTCCAGGTGAGACAATGATTACTCAACGACCACAGCGAAGACCTTTCTAAAGGCTGACATATTCCAGTGAAAAAGTGTGTAGAATTATAAATGGTAGTACCACTGGATGACAGAATAAGGCACAATAAACTTTATTATCAAATGTCACACATTGTACAAGGCAGAAAACTGCTTATGAAATCCATTTTGTTTCACTTTTTAAGACTGACTGCTGAAAGTTATATACTCATATTAGCATTTGTTTTTTTGTTTTTTTTTCCCCCAAAGCCCCAGTAGATAGTTGTATGTCATAGTTGCACATCCTTCTAGGTGCTGTATGTGGGACGCGGCCTCAGCATGGCTGGAGAAGTGGTGCGTTGGTGTGCGCCCGGGATACGAACCCGGGCCACCAGCAGCGGAGCGCACGCATTTAACCGCTAAGCCACCGGGCCGGCCCTCATATTAGCATTTGCATGCTGACTCCTGAAACTATTAAGGAATTCCAACACAGCTGACACACAAAGAAATATGGTTTAAGAAGACTTTTTAAAAAATCTATTGCTTTATGATTATTAACAGTAGTTAAGAGACAACTATTTTTGAAGCTCAGCTTTAAAAAAAAAAAGCTGCCTAAAAAAGGCGCCCCTTTACCAAGAAATGTACAGGCATAAATTGGAAAACATCTCATTTTTTATGTAAACCTCCTTGTCACAAAGGTTTAGGATACAGACAGCGGTCCCTAGAGCAAAGGTGTTATTTCCCATCAATAGGACCCAGGGGCAGGCAGCTGCTTGTTAAGATAATTCTCCAATGCAGGAGGGTAACCAGCCTTTTCTAAACCTTTCATTTCACCTCAAATAAGTTACTTTTCATACATTTAATTTATACTAAATTTACAAAGAAGCTTTTCAAGAGAGAAATTCTCCGTATTTTAAACCAAAGTTAGAATTATTCCTGTCAGTTTTTAATGAGCACTTGAACTCCAAATACAAACAAACAAGGAACAACGGGCATTTGTGAAGAATGTGATCAAAACGAAACAAAACAAAAAGGAGCGAGAGACAACCTGTGTAAGAAAAGATGTGCCCAACGGTCCCCGCCACCCTTCCTGGCCTTGAGGACTGCAAGTGGACGGCTGTGTGTGTGTCAAGGTGCTTCTTCCCCTTACAGTCATCGCCTGCGGGGGTGGTGACAAGCAGTTAATGGGAAAGATTAATATGCAAACCTTGTCAATCTCAACTGTGCACAACAATGGCAGTTTGAAAAAATTTCGAAACACACTTATGCAAAAAAAAATAAAACCCCAAAGCCAATGCAATCTGATGGTTATCAGCTTCTATTATTTAGAGTTTAAGCAACAGCTCTACCAACCCACCCTAATTCGTGAGGGGTGCTGTATGCACGTGGGTCATTCATTTCCCGTGTGGAACCCGTCCCAAGCATAAGCACTTCACATGTAAAAGAAGCCATACTTACACAGTGACTCCCCATTTACACTGAGGTGATCATCCTCTCTGAGAAATTCCTTTACATTCATTCTCCCAGAGTAACTGGAATGAGCTGCAATACACGCAAAAGAGGCTTAGAAAACTCATCGATGCCGAGTTCAGATGCTTCTTAGACCCCAATGCAGCCACGCAGTCAGAGAACTAACCACCTCCACTTTCAGGACAGCTGATGGCTCGTACAAGGCAGGTGAGTACAGGGGACAGGGCTTTGGTTAGAAAGAGATTTTAAAGTCCCACCTGGCTAAGTAATGCGCCCAGCCAATACCATACAAAGAGGGGCCTGCTTAAAATTTTTCTGAAATATCATTCTAAATGCTATTCAAAGAAATTTTTTGCTTTCAAAAGGTAATAAGAATCAAAAGTTGAGTATATTAACTTTTTATTTGAAAAGTTAACTTAAAAAATGTCTCAACATTGATCAACTTTCAGAAAATTGAATATATACAGAGCATAGTAAAATTTTCAAAAGCTCCCTTCTAGAAAGAACCCCAGGAAGCACCGTGAGAAAGTCCGCAGTAAGAGGAGAATCGCAAATGAAGTGCCATGCGGGAAAAAGGAGTGTTTTATCCACCTTGAAAGCATTGTTTGGTGGAAAAAGGAGGAAAAAATTATTTAAATACCTGTTGATTCATGGCTTTTTGACTTATAGCTTTTTGATTCACAGTCTTTTGATTCATAACTTTTCAATTTGTAATTTTCTGATTCATAATTGAGCTTCATTAAAACCACTTGAAAAAGTTGAACTAAGAATGATGAAAAAGATGATGAAGTGTACTTGGCCAGCCACAAAATCCTATCCATGTAGAAAGATGCACCGCCTATTAAAAAACCGTGAACACAGTTATTTCTTCCCACAAAGCCAATATTTACTCTCCTGATAAAGCAGAGAGACAAATTACTCATTTCAGGCAAATCAGAATCGACTTTTTAAATGGACACCAAAGACAACAAGTCGGGAAGAGCCATAATGACAAACAGCACTCTGCCTAAAGTGATGACACACACCACATCCAGACAGGGCAGAGCTGCAAAGCACACCTACCGGGAGAGCCGTTAACACCAAGTCTCTCTCCCAGGCAATCTTCCATAAGACATCCAACTTGAGGTCATTTCACCCCATATTGTTTATCCTCACATTACAATACTCGGATACCGTCAAGGAGCCACTCCCTTACCAATCTCCAGCCCACAAGGTTACTCTAGTACCTGCCTAGAGAAGGGCCATTAGGTAAGGGCCCCAGCACCTCAAGGGTGTCTGCTGCAGCATTTGCAAGGGGGACAAGAGAAACAACCCACACGAACGTGTGGAGGGAGCAGTTCAATTACGGAACACCTGTGCCAAAACCCCAAGCCATCCTCTACTACTTTTCATTAGTGCCTGGAGCTTCAGAAGATGCAGTGTGATCCCTGGTACTTTTTTCTGTTAACCCAAAATGTGTAGGGTCATATTCTACAAATCACAGTCGCCACAATTTTTTTTCTTGAAAAAACATTTCCCCACTGAGCAGCAAATGAAGAAGGCTTGTTTCTACAAGTTGGTTCCAGCAGGACCACCTGGAGACATGGGGCCGTCCACCCTGGTTTGCCCCGAAGTGGTTCTAAGACGTACCTCGTCCACTTCCTCTCCCAGCTCAGTGAAACCTTAGTGAGTTTAGAATATGTGGCAAGAGGCCAGCTGGAATTGATGATGTCTGAGTTGGAGTGATTTTAAAGAAATAAAATCAGAGCTTTTTTTTTTTCCCCCCCAAATAGCCTGAGTAGCAGTAGGCTATTTTTGAATTGGAACCCTGTACCAAAAAAACCATAAAGCTGAGGTTATTATTCCCCCAGCATCAGTGCCAACTTATTTTACACTCTACTTACACTCTTCTTTGTTTTACACTGTGGTGTAAACTTTATATAGTTGTTAGTGATATAGTTGTTAGTGCCATCGAGTCAATTCTGACTCCCAGCAGCCCTGTGTACAGGACAGCAGAGCAGAACCCTGCCTGGTCTTTCTGCACCACTCTCTCACCTTCTGGTGCTATGTCAGACAACGCTCCGCTGCTATTCACAAGGTTTTCATGGCCAATTTTTTCAGAAGTGGGTGACCAGGTCCCTCTTCCTACTCTGTCTTAGTCTGGAAGCTCTGCTGAAACCTGCCCACCATGGTGACCCTGCTGGTATTAGAAATCCTGGGGACACAGCCTTCAGCATCACAGCCACACGCAGCCGCCACAGTATGACAACCAACAGACGGGGTGTGGTTCTCTGAGCAGGAACAAACCTGGGCCTTGGCGGTGAGGGCGCCCAATCTTAACCACTAGAGCACCAGGGCTGGCTAAACTTTATATAGAGGTTGGTAAAAATAGAAAAAAATGTATTAAGAAGTAAGGCATAGTCAATCTCACTGATAATCAAAGACACCAAAATTTCATTTTCATCCATCAAATTGGCAAAATTTTAAAAGAATGAAAATATTAAGAATCAGCAAGAGTATAAAAATGGGAGAGCGGTTTTTTTGCCATGAGGCAGAGCGGTTCGGGTCAGTCTTCTGTGAAGTCAACTGGAAGAATCTATTTAAACTGAAATTGAACATAATCTTTTTTTTCAGCAGAGATTATTTATTTAGAAGCTGCTGGTTGGAACATTTTAAAATACATTTTAATTGCTAATTATGGTTTCTTCAGTCAGAGTTGCTCCTCCTAAAGCTAATCATTAATATGTTAGCTGCTCAGTTCAGAAACTGCTCACGCAGTCGACCCACCCACAGCTGTGTCTATGTAGCCGGCTTCTGCCTCAGCTGCTCACTTGGTAGCAGAAATTCTACTGCACTGGTTGGTCTGCTACACCAATCTCAAAGGCTGCTTACTTACCATAAGGCAGCAGGCGTTTAAGTCCTTATTTCTCTCAAGATTGAGGCTGGTTCAATAAGCAAAATTCTGCTCTAAGCCACCAAGACACCTGACAGGTTTTCTAAGGAAGGACCTATCTTCTCTAAGTGAATTTACACCTCTTCCTGGGGAACACAAGTGCTGCCTTAGGCAAGGCAGAGAGCAGAGGGAGTCTGTTTTCAGATTTGAATTCTCTGGGTACTTCTGTGCAACCTTATAACAATAAGGTCAGCCTCGAGGCCCAGGGGCTACTGCCTAGTAAACAGACCCGAGGGCACCATGAGGTCCCCTTGTCTGCAACTCCACGCACTTCTTAAGGAGAATCTCATCCTGAGGGGAGAATGGAATCTGGTCATCTGCACACATCTCATCAACACCCCACTTTGTTGAGGACTGTTTGATGTGCCAAGGAAAAGACTTGAAGCCTTTTAAACCAGATGTGAACCAGAAAGTCACGTTTTGTCAAGCATGCACTAGACCTGAACCTCGAAAGGTCCAGGACTCCGACACCACACGGCTCGAGTGGGAAACATCACCTCTAACATACCTGTTACACCCCTGGTTTGTCAACCCCAGAGAGAGATCTGCATATGGACACAAATACATATATGGACAAGGAAGCACACCCAAAAGTCCACCAACAGAAAAAACTTGAACGTCCATTCTAGACACTGATGAAATAAATTTTGACACAACCATAAACACAATATTAGACAGGCATCAAAAAGAATGAAGTTAATCTCAACATATAAAATGAAAAAAGTTGCAAAACCATATGTATATACTCATAGCATTTCAGTAAAGACAAAAATAGACCACCTATTTCCATAGGTACACAAGCAATTCAGGGTACAGCTCAAAACACTGTGAAGGCACCAAACGCCATTGAACTGTACACTTAAGATGATTAAAAAATTCACACTGATCTTCCTATCAGCTGCGTCCCCTCTAGAAGGCAAGCTGTATAGGGATGGGAGGAATGGCGGAAGGGGACGGTTTTATCTGTAGTTAAAGATTTCACACTGAGAAGATAAGTAAAGACAGAAAGAAAGAAAGAAAATGTGGGGGTTAATTTATGCTTTAAAATTTTATGTATTTCATGTAAATCTGTTTATATATAGCAATTCATGCAGTAGGATCTCAACTCTGTAACAGAGGGAAACCCTGCAAAGCTGGACCCCTGTGTACCTCCGGTGGGAGGCTATGGTGATTTCTATTCCCATCCTTGCGCATCTCTGTGATGTTCAAATGTTCCTTGATAAACATTTTACTCAAATAATTAGAAATATTTTTTAAGAGTAATAAATTAGTGTTGGCTCTACAAACCACTGTTATAATCTAAAACAACAAGAACAGAAGCCCAAAGCAAATAAAAATGTAACTCATCTTCTCCTCAAAAACACTGAAGACCAATTTAAGCAGGAAAGTGAGATGAATTTCCAGAAGCTACCACAACCACACCCAGCACCTTTCCATCTGAAGACACACCAACCCCCACCCACAGTGTCAGAACAAAGAACAGAACCTTTCCTATGATACAGTAAGGAGGTCGTGGGAAAGCAGCAAATATTCTATATTCTGTGATCTGTGAGCATCCTGGTTACCGTGTGTGGAATGTGCTCTTACCCTAAGAATAATGTTATGCTCAACTTAGCGATGGCATGCTTCAAAACGCAGCCTTGATAACGCCCATACTAGGCACCTTTGTGCGGCTGCACGGAGCCAGGTCAGGTGCGGAGCTCCTGGCTCTGGGGTCCCCCTGAACAGTGGCATGAGACGGCAGTACAGCAGCTTGGGGATAGCACCCTGCAGGTGAGACACCTGCGTCCAGGTCCAAGCTCCATCCACCCACCAGGAAGTTTCTCAAGCTCGCTAAACTTGAGTTTGCCAATCTGCACAATAGGGACAGCAGTGGTCCTTCGGGGCTGCTGTGAGGTTAGTGAGGTCACAGTGCAGAGCACTGGAGCAGAGTGCGCGCTCCGCAATGCTGGTCTCCACGTGGGGCCCTCTCGCATGATGCAATCCAGAAAGCATTATAAACAAAATCTTCACACTGGTTCTGCCACCTCCTCTGCCCTTTTATGCCTTCCATTCTGTTAAATTAATGCTAATGGTGTCAACACTACAGTAGACAAAGCCAGAAGCTTTAGCAACAAGGTTAAGATGCTAAAATGGAAATAACTTATCCTCAGACCATCCTTGACTATGTCAAAACGGTCATTTGAAAACGATGAACTGAGTGCCCCCATGCACCGGGCACAGCCAAGCACAGTGAGCAGACAGACGTGGCCTCATCCACCTGACCAAGCGTGTCCTGTAGCCCTGCCAGGCAGACCAGCACTTAAACAGACAAGGAGCCAAAGACTTGGAAACGGGCAACATATGTTTCAAGTCAAGGGCTCCCTAGCCTCTCTACACCGTAGGTGAGCAGTGATGACAGCGCAGGAAGTCACAGAGTCCCGGAGCCAGCAGGGGCCTCTAAGCCACGTGACAGAACCTGGAAGGGGAGCTGTAGCCATGCTTTCCCCCAGGGCCCAGCAGAGAGGCTCGGTCACACCAGGCAAAGATCAGAGCCGGCGAGCAGCGGGCCCGGGAGGAAGCCCTGCAGGCCTGCCTGGAAAGGCCATGGCAGCCCCAGCAGTTCTCACAGGCACATGCCTCCAGAGCCACCTCTGAGGACCTCCGTGTTAAAGCGAGTGCCGCCAGGACTCTGAGGTCCACCTCTGATAGCTAATGGGGCCGTGGCTGCACTCATGGGCATTCTCTGCAGTGACTGCTGCCACCCCAAACAGCCAGTGCTCCACGTGCCCCCACCAGAACCTGCACATTCCCATGGAGCTACCCCCAAATCTGAAGTTCCACTGGTCACTCACTCCGACTGTGACAACAGAGACCAGAGGAAATACTGTCCCCACTCTCACTGGCATAAACACCCTCTGCAGTGGAGGCAAAAGCACCATCCTAATGCTCCTTCTTCACCACATCTGAATGTCCGTGCTGCTCCATAAACACAAAGGAATATATCTCAAAGTGCATGGTTCCACGGGACTTTCATTTAAGCAGGAATTTTCTTTTGCTTACCCAAAGTTCAAATTTATAGAATTTCAGACACTCCAAGGTACAAAAATACTAACCACATAAAATCTAAGTTGAAAGAGGATGAGGAGGAACAAAATTAATTTTTGGTGCATTTCTTAAACTTTATTTTAAAGGATTTTTTATTTATTTATTTATTTATTTATTTTTTGCTGAGGAAGATTCGCCCTGAGCTAATATCTGTGCCAATCTTCCTTTATGTTTTGAAGTGGGTCCCCGCCACAGCACGGGCGCTGACAAGTGGTGTAGGTCTGCACCTGGGAACCGAACCTGGGCTGCCAAAGCAGAATATGCTGAACTTAACCACTAGGCCACAGGGCCGGTCCCCTTAAAGGATAATTTTGAGTTCAAGTGTATGACAGAAATAGTGCAGACTCTGAGGCCTACAAAACCAGGTTTGTAAAAAGAAAAGCAAATATGTGGACATGAAATCTCTTTCTAACTTTTAAAAGTGCGAGCCTTACGTTTTTGAGTCCTATCCCTTGTGTACACTCTCGACAAGGGTCCGCGGGCAGTGGAGCGCGCGGTGAGCGAGTCCTCGCGCTCGGAGAGCAGGCTGCAGTCCCGGCAGGTATAGCCGTTGCTCCTGGCCGCTCCTGCTGCCAGGTCACCATTTCCCTGAACGACAGCTTTATTTCCACCTGAAGTTTTCAAAAAGTAGATGGAACCTATTTGTCACAATCTGCATTATATACCCAACTAAAACATCTATCTTGAAAAGTGTAGGGAAGAAAAAGGACTCAGATAATTACCTTTAAGATCTCCATCATCATCAAGACCTAAAAAACACACATACACATGTTTTTGCTGTTGAGTTCAAATTACCAAAACAGAACAAAACCCACACAAAAAAGTGAAGGTTACAATGGTTAATAAATCAGCATTATGGCATTGGTCAAGATTTATCTCTTATAATGCCTAGAATTAATGGAAATTTCTGCAGATATATCCAGATGCTATCTTCTGATTCAAGGTGAAAGCACATCTTTGGAGAAAATACATATGTGTACCTAAACACACACGCATGCACGCACACACACACTTTCTCACTCTCTCTCTCTCTCTCTCTCTCTGACGTGGAGAGGAGGCAGAGGATACGGGCAATCAGAGGGAGAGAAGCCCCTTTCTCGGCACTCCCCTGCAGTGAAGCAAGAACCTCACGAGTAGCACCGGCTCCCTCCGTTGCCTGGGAACTACTCTTGCTATCTGAGCAAAACAGCAAACACAAATTCCCATGCTTCCCAAAATCAGCACATAAAATTTTTGGAATTGATCTGGACTTCTAATCTTCTCAAAAGGGCCAACCTTGTGTGTTCATCAAGTGAACACAAGTGAGCAGCTCTGTGTCCCTATCAAAGCTGTCACTCCCGTGGCCATCACATTTTCAGCAGCGAGGATGGGGTCGCATCCTGTTGCTGCCTTAATTCAAGGCAGCTTACAAGCCATGTCATTTCCTAGTGTCAATTTGTCTACACTGGGTGCTTTCCAATGATTCAAAAATACTGTGTCTGCCTTGTTGCTTAGAGCTGTTTGGAACTTCAAATCACACTGGTGAATTTTTACAATATCTTTTCTTAAACATCCTACAAAAGTAATCTATTTAGAAAAACAGAGTTATCAGACCTGACCACTTGATGGTCCCCACCACAACAGAGGGTTCCGCACTGGCACAGCCAGACAAGGAGCAGTCGGAGCAGCTTCCTTGTGTTTCCCATTTGCGAATCTAGAGGAAAGCCTTGAACCTCACTGGGGCCCCTCCCACACGGTAAGTGGCAAGGGGACAACCTGGCCATGACCTCGATTCTTCCCGGAACAATCAGAGAAATAATCAAACCATAGATAACTCACCCCAGAAGTGGTCCACTTTGGTCTGCTCACGGATCAGAGACTCGTCCAGCACTGGAGGCCGAAGACAAGCCGTGCCCTGCAGACCGCTAGAGCTGCTCTGGCCGACCACTGAAGACACAACCTTCCTTGAGGCGTGGTTTATACTAAAAGCCGGCTTGCTTGCACTTCTGTGCTGTTTTGCTGTTCTGAAAAAAAAGGCATAAGGAACAAGTTTATAGACTTCTAGTAAATACAAAATGACTACAATTCACCAACACAAAACCTTTGAGGATAACTATACTACTTTTAAGGCAACATTATGATGTCTTTTCTGGTGTAATGAAACATCTATTAATCTAAAAAAGGAATTCTTAAGGTGGGGTCCAAGAACTCCTTCTAAAATTGCATACGCAAAATAGTTTTCAGATTATTTTGGGCCCCATGACCCAAAAGTGGTTAAAACTTAGGGCCGGCCCTGTGGCTTAGTGGTTAAGTGCGCGCGCTCCACGACTGGCGGCCTGGGTTCGGATCCCGGGTGCACACCGATGCACCGCTTCTCCGGCCATGCTGAGGCCGCGTCCCACATATAGCAACTAGAAGGATGTGCAACTATGACATACAACTATCTACTGGGGCTTTGGGGGAAAAAAAAAAGGAGCAAGATTGGCAATAGATGTTAGCTCAGAGCCAGTCTTCCTCAGCAAAAAGAGGAGGATTAGCACGGATGTTAGCTCAGGGCTGATCTTCCTCACAAAAAAAAAAAAAGAAAGAAAAGGAAAAAACCTTAAAATAACCTAAGAATAAAAATGACCTAAAAATAAAAAATGACATGATTTATACATTTAACCCCTGTCCTTTTTAAAACAAGTCACTGCACACACACATGCATCCTGCACCGTTTCTCAGTCACTAGTAAAGACGGCACTGCATTAAGTACAGCAAGGAAAGGCTGTAATCTAAAATCATTTCTGTGTTCATATTTACCACAAACAATAAAGATAAAGCCCTCGGAAACAAATGCTTCAAGAACATGGCATCAAGGTAGGTAGTGAGGAGACGGCAGATGGAACAAGACCCTCTGCCTTCAAGGGAACGAGCAATGGGTGAGAGGCAGGCAGCAGCAGAAGTACCACATGAGCACGGTGCATTACGGGGACTGGCCAGGGCATCGAGGTGACAGAAAACCAGCCTTGTCACAGCTGGGTGCTTCTCACGCCATGCCACACACCACAATCCACTGGAGCTCCCAGCTGCCCCTTCATGAACCTGCTCGTGTGGACTGTCCATGGTGGAGGTCCAGAAATCTCATTCTCTAAACACAATCGGCAGGCGACTGCAATGTGTGCAGAAACCATGGCCGGAGCCCTGCTACAGACCCAGTGCCCAGCTCTGCTTTACTGCTGGCCCTCCACTACCTCTCCAAACAGACACCATCCCACTCCTGAGAGAAGACGGCCACTCAAACTGGAAACTCACCATTCTTACGTGAGCAACAAAGTAAAGCCATTACTGATATTCTTTATCTCTAAATGGCAGACCTTGCACACTTTTGCTCCTTCTTGGGTACAGATAGGTGATGGGCACACGGAGAGTTTAGAAAAGTGAAGACGAGAATCATGAATACAGGGAAACATCTACACTTCATGGGTGTATCTGTTGGTCCACACAGACTTTCGTGAACAGACTCAAAGCGTTAACAATACAGAGATCATCCACAACGCCATGTGATAAGCTGGTAGGAGTCCTTCCTCCTTCAACCACATTTGGTGGAGAGCTGAAGTCCAGCTCCTGCTCTGAAGATGACCTGTGAGTGCCGGCACTGTGCACAGAGTTGTGTCCATTCACAGGGTGTCGCACCCCCTCCAGAGTCGGAGCACGAGCAGAGAGCTGGAAACCTTAACTTGCAGAACATCAACACCAGACAAGCCACACACTGCAAAATTAGTCTCAGTCCTTCTTTAGAGCAAGCAAAACACTTGGTGTGTGGATTTGGGTGTGAGTGCATACATATCCTTACACTCAAGACAGTGTGGCTCTACAGACCAAAAAGCAGGTATGTCTGGTTTTAACTGGGTGAGAATGTGGATGAAAACAAAGTAGGTAGGGCTTACCTGGCCACCCTGTCCTTCAAGGAGGCAGCGCCACTGGTGCAGGAGTGGGCATCCCCGGCCTGGCCGTCCTCAATGGCATATGCTGTGGTGACCAAGCGCAAACTACGGCGGGACATCCTTGGAGAATCAAATACGGGATCCAATTTGTGCTCAGTCTCGAAATCCAGAGCATCAGAAGAATAACTTGAACTGGAAGAAAAACAACTTGTCAGAGATAAACAATGCTTACAGCACCACTTTTGAAACAAACTGAACAAATAAAGAAGAGAACGTGTAATCTACCGGGGATTTTAAAAAACCATTGCTGTGTGATGATTTTTCTACAAAGCAAAAGTAAGCTGCACCCAAATCAGTCGCCACAGATGCTCTGACCTCAGCACACGTGAAATACATCCCCAGGTGCCCAGGTACTTGAGTCTAGGTGACCCTAATGCTTCAGGGCCCACTAAATTCACAAGAATCCCCTCCTACGGGAGTTACGTCAACACCATTAAAAATAAGAATCCATTGACTAGTGGGTACTATGTCTGACAGAGCAGCTAGTGAGATGCGGCCACCACCTGACATTTAACCTGACAGACCAATAAGTAGAATGAACCAATGCAAGGAGAAAAGGACAAAGCAAGTCACTGAACCATCGACGCTACTTTGCGTCTAACTCACCATGAAGGTGGAGACAAACTGTGACTAAGAAGAGTCACTTCAACTCCCCTCCACGTCATGATCTTCAACTAAAAGATGTACCTTTTTGTGTTGTTAGCAAGTTTTTCCAAATCAAGACACATGAACTGAGCACCTACTCTGTGCCTCCCCTGGGGTAGGGTCACACCTCTTGATCTGCCCCAATGGTCCAGGTGGCCCGAGCACACCTAACTCACCCCTTTCACTCAGGACAGAAATCACATGGTCCCCTACCGTGAGGATCCATACCAACAGAGAAGGAGGAACACATAGCCCAGCAGGAAAGAGGAAGGTGAGCAAAGGCACCAGAGAGGAGGGAGGGAGACATATGTGTCCAGGTGCTACACAGATGAGACAGCAGGGGAACAAAGCAGGCCCTGGGACCACACTGCAACCCAGGGCACTGGGGTTGGGTGGGAGAGGCTGAGGAGGGGCTGCACAGGAGGCTTGGGGCCTGGCTACAAAGTGCCTCTGTGCCCTGCCAGAGAGTGGCCCTCATCTGAGGGCCCCGGAGGAAGCACTGCAGAGATGTGCTGACGGAAGCTTCTGGCCTCTTCTATGGGTCATCCAAGGGAGGCACACCCATAAGGCAGTGGGAAAAGCACTCGTGCCCAGGAGCAGACTGGGCTAGAATGTGGAAATAAGCAGTGACCAGCAGTATCTGAGTAAGTCAATGAGCTTAAGAACATTTTTGCATTGTACTTCATATTCGAGAAATATTTTCAGAATCAAATTCATCATAAACTTATTAGATCTGACACTAAAAAATGTTCAGTCAGGGCCGGCCCCGTGGCTCGGCGGTTGGGTGCGCGCGCTCCGCTACTGGCGGCCCAGGTTCAGGTCCCGGGCGCGCACCGACGCACCACTTCTTCGGCCGTGCTGAGGCTGCGTCCCACATGCAGCAACTGGAAGGATGTGCAACTATGACGTGCAGCTATCTACTGGGGCTTTGGGGAAGGAAAAAAGGAGGAGGATTGGCAATAGATGTTAGCTCAGCCACTCAGACAGAATCTACAACATGACCCCTATTCATGCTTTCCCCTTCCTTCCCGCTGTAGCGGAACAGGAACCCTAAAGCCCATTCTGTGAGCTCGAGACCAAGTCCCACCCACTTTCTGGAAGACCTCACTGTCAGTCACCTCCCCTCTCTCCCACGTCTTCAACTTCTCTCTACCAGCTCCTTACCATCAGCACCCAGACACACTCTCATCTCTCCCCATGGTAAAGAAACAAGAAATAAACAAAGCCATGCCTTTCTCTTCCCTTATCAGCCGAACCTGCTGAAAGAGTTGTCGACACTCACTCCTCAATCCACTTCATTCCAACTTCTGCCCCAATCGCTGCACTTAGCCTGCTTTTGTCGAGTGACTCCCATGGGGGTGAATTCACTGGCCATGTCCCAGTCCTAACCTTGTTTGGCCTTCCAGCAGCACCTGACCCGGCTGTCATTCCCTCCTTGAAACACTCTCTTCTCCTGGCTCTCTCCTGGCTTCCGTGCAGACACTGTGTGTACTTAGCCACAGCCATTACCCCTCACCTTTCTTTCCTGATGGCAAAATCAACCTCCCAGGGCCGGCCCGGTGGCGCAAGTGGTTAAGTGCGCGCGTTCCGCTGCAGCGGCCCGGGGTTCGCCAGTTCAGATCACGCTGATGCACCGCCTGTCAGGCCATGCTGTGGTGGAGTCCCATATAAAGTGGAGGAAGATGGGCATGGATGTTAGCCCAGGGCCAATCTTCCTCAGCAAAAAGAAGAGGACTGGCAGATGTTAGCTCAAGGCCGATCTTCCTCACAAAAAAAAAAAAATCAACCTCCCACCAGAGGCTGAAAAGTCAGACACCTACTCTTCCAGCCTCCGTTGCACCTAGAGCACGGGTGTGCCGCACGACCTGGGGTCCAAGGGATCGAGGGGGCCTCTGAAGGGCTTCAGGAAAAGTCCTCTCTGACCAAGGCAGTGCTCATCAATGGCTGCTCCTCCATCACATGGAAGCTAGTGGGACTTTATAACGTGATCAACCTCGACACCAAAGGAGCAAGACGGCCAGAGATCACGTACCTCCCAACAGAATGTCACAGGAAGCACCATCCACTACGTAGTCATGCCAACAAATAAACAGAACCTGGAGCTGATCAAACCTCTAGATCTAACTGCCAGTTTACAGGAAACACAGATGAAGACTTGAGAGACAAATCACCCAAACAGAATGTGAGGATCCTGTTTAGGTTGATTTTAAAAAGTTTAAAAAAAAAAAAAAGAGGATCTGGGAAATTGAGCACTGACTAAATATCTGATATATTAAGGAGTTATTTTAAATTACTGAGGGCTTTTTGCTGTGATACTGGTATTTTGGCCAGTTGTTTTTAAAATACCATTATCTTTTAGACATTTGCTTCAAAATAATGCACTGGGGAGGGGAGAGAGGGAGGCACCAAGTGCGTATAACTGCTGAAGCCAGGTGACAGGCAAAGGGGCTCATTACTATTCTCCAAACTGTCATATTGTTTGACTTTTTCCATAGTAGGAAAGCATTTTAATTAAATAAGTGGAATGACCAGGATGTTGGAGGATCCTTTGTGTGTTTACTGGAATTGCTAAGAATGAAGAGCAGAGCAGTGCTAGACACAGCCGTCAAGCAGGGGCACGGAGCCACCAGCAATGAGGCAGTCACCAGACGAATGAGTCTAAGTGGGGGCTTAGCAGCAAGAGGCAGAAGGGCCTGGAAGGACAACCGAGAGGAGGACAACTTCACCATCATGCCAGGTGGCCTGAGGGCTGAGGGGAAAGGGCTGCAGGGAAGCCAAGACTCTGGGACGACCAGCGTCCACTGGAGCTGGAAGACAAAGAGAAGTTTCAAAGGAGAGGTGGGGTAAGAGGGGCATAGGAAGAGACCACCATGGCCCTGGGGCTGTGTCACTCTCATGCTGGCCCACTGCGCCTCACAGCTTCTCCTCTGTCAGCTCTGGAGCCCCACTCCTCTGGCCCTCAGCCGCATGGCACTCTCCGGACCCCAACCACACCATGCAGATGACCAGATCAGAACCACGAAGCTGCATATACTCTCCTGTTAAGTGGTTGTACTCTCCTGACCCTCTCTTCCTTCTGTGCCCCCAACCCGCTGCAGAAGCCAGAATGTGACTGTCGCCCTTGCCTCCTCCTTCATCCCTGATTCCAATCAATCAGCAAGACCCTCCAACTGTCCTCCCAATTCCCTCCCCATGCCCTGCCCAGCACCGCCCCAGTCCAGGCCACCACCGAGTGTCACCTAAATGTCCGCAACCATCTCTGACCCTGCCCATTCTCCACACTCTCCACACGGCAGCTCCTTCTGAGCACAAACCTGGTGACACTGCTCCTTGCTTAAAAGCCTTCCCTGCTTTCCCACTGCCCTCAGAGAAAAGTCCATGTTCCCAGCAGAGCTTACAAGACCAAACCCGCCTGCCTCTCCTGCTCCATCTCTCATCCACTAACTGCACGTCTACCTGAAGGAAGGCTGTGAGTGAAACTAACAGTGTTGCTTTCCCAATGTAGAGATGTAGACATACACATTTTTTAAAAACTATATTTAAAATAGGTTATAAAAGCTAAAAACAAATTATTAAGAATAAATATTTTTATGCCCCACAATACAGAATAAGGAATAGTTTAACTTGAGTGGGCCCACTTATTTTGTTCTAAAATACTACAGGACTTTCAACAAAAACAGTCTGTTACTATGGAAAGTGTGACGTGATCTAGAATTGTGAATAAATTCAATCATTAAATGTGAGATTTGACTAACGCAGTTAAAAAGTATTTTTCCTACAACACCTTCCAATTTTCTTAAAGTTTCAATTACATTTTTACCCTTTAGAAGATAAGCCATTGAGGGCCAGCCCCGTGGCTTAGCGGTTAAGTGCTCGCGCTCC